TACAGCAGAGACAGGAGATATTTAATCAAGGCATGTAAAATCGCAATGGATCTTTGACAGAGTAAGTAAGAGGCAATTGATTCTACTAAAGAACAGGCTATTTCCCATATTACAATGAGCTATAATCTAAATATCTTCATTGGCTGCAGAGTACTTTGGAATATCTTAAAGATGTGAAAGGTTCTCTATAAATGTAAGTCTTTCTTTTTACCTTGAATTTATATTAATTGGCTAAAAAGCCAAAGGTGAGCTGAGGAAGCTTGTTAAATGCAGTGAGTTGCTATGATCAGACATGAATTACATGAAGGCAAAATCAATAATAACCTTTAAAAATGAAGTGATCAATACTTGAAGAGAACACATTTGTGCTGCTATGGGAGTATTCGCTAAATCAAAAAGCTGCTACAGGCATTTAAACGAAAACATTATGTGGGATTTTATGGAATGTGAATGATTCTGGTATTTATTGCCCGTCCCTAGTTGCCCCTTGAGAAGGTGGTGGTGAGCTGCCTTCTTGAACCACTGCAGTCCATTTGCTGTAGGTAGACCATACTATGAGGGAAAGAGTTCAGGACTTTGACCCAGTTATGCTGAAGGAGTGACGATATATGTCCAAGTCAGGATGGTGAGTGACTTTGTGGGGAGGTGGTATTCCCATGTATCTGCTGCCCTTGTCCTTAGACGGAAGTGGCAATAAGTTTGGCAGGAGCCTGTGTGAATTGCTGCAGTGTATATTGTAGACAATACACACTGTGGCTACTGAGCATCGGTGGTGGAGCGAGTGGATGTTGAACGTGGGATGGGGGGTGTGTACTGCTTTGACATGAGTATTGTCATGACTGTACCCATTCAGGTGATTGGCATGATGGCCTGAAAAAACTTCTGTTGTGCACTAAAACTGTGTGAGTTTAATATCATTGAGATCAGCTGATATTGCAAGGTCACTACCATTGAAGATAAACCTCATTACAGACAGGAATCAGAGATGGGTTTGATGGAGGGCTATGGGAGTGAGATAGGATGTGGCAATCTATAAAAAGCTCAGTCACAGTGACTCTCATGATAAATAAAAGCCCTTAACTGAAGGAAATGGAATTGAAAATACAGCCTCCCTCATCCCAAATCCCAGATTCTGCACACAGGTGGCTGATGGGTCTTTCTGTGACTGGAGGCCTAAGACCAGTGGCACAGCGCAGGCTTCAGTGCTGGGTTGCTTGCTGTTTGTAGTGTACAATAATGATCTCGACAAATGTCAGAGGCATGTCAGAAACTCCACAGACAATATAATACTTGGTGTGGCAAATAGTGAGGAGGAACATCCTGGACTAAAGTACAATATAGACAGGCTGGTCAGATGAGCTGAACACTGGCAAATGGAAATTACTCCTGAAAGGTATGAGGCAATACATTTTGGGAGATCTAACAAAACATGCTCTCCCCCTGACACACGGACCACACTCTCCCTGATACATGGAACACATTCTCTCGCTGATAAATAGAACGTGCTCTCTCCCTGACACATGGAACATGCTCTCCTTGACACACAGAACACACTCACTCCCTGATACACAGAACACGCTCTCTCTCTGACACACAGAACATGCTGTCTCCCTGACACATGGACCATGCTCTCCCTGGCATACGGAACACACTTACTCCCTGACACATTGAACACACTCACTCTCTGACACATTGAACACACTCACTCTCTGACACATTGAACACACTCACTCCCTGACACACGGAACACACTCACTCCCTGACACATTGAACACACTCACTCCCTGACACACGGAACACACTCACTCCCTGACACATTGAACACACTCACTCCCTGACACATTGAACACATACATTCCCTGACACACAGAACACACTCTCTCTCTGACACACAGAACACGCTGTATCCCTGACACACGGAACACACTCACTCCCT